GCCAGCGGCAGCCCACCTGGTCCCGTGAGGAGGTGAACAAGCAGGCGGTGTTCGAGTTCGAGTCGGCTGCTCAGCAGTTCATGGTGAGCACCCTGCGCGTGGCCAAGAGCTTCCGACCCAAGCAGCTCTGGGGGTTCTACCTCTTCCCCGACTGCTATAACCATGACTACAGCAAGAACAAGGAGAGCTACACCGGGCAGTGCCCAGATGTGGAGAAGACACGTAATGACCAGCTGGCATGGCTCTGGAGGGAGAGCATGGCTCTCTACCCCTCCATCTACCTCGATCTGCTCCTGGCCTCCACCCCCAACAGCCGCAAGTTCGTGCGGGCACGGGTGGTGGAGGCCATGCGCATCTCGCAGCAGCACCACGATGGCTACTCCCTGCCTGTCTTTGTCTACACCCGGCCCACCTATATCCGCAAGCTGGACGTGCTGAGCCAGGTAGGGCTGCACCACTGGGATGTCCTTGTCCCAGTCCCTGGGTGCCTGGGCTCTGGGGTCAGATGAGGTGGTCCCTCTGCCCATGTCCCATCTTTCTCCCCTTGAGCGGGGTGACTCCGGAGGCTGTTGTCTGCCCTCACAGTGCTACTGGCACCCTGTGGTTTGACTGTCTCCGAATGGGGTGGGGAGCTGCACCCTTTGGCATTGGGCTGGCCCCAGGGAGCAGGAGGGGTGCCTAGCCCTGACTCCCTCCCTCCAAGTAGGCGAAGTCACAGTAGGGACACTCAGCTCAGCCCCTCCCCTCTGTCGGTGGATGATGGGGTGGCACAAACTGCCCCACTTATGGGCAAGATGTCTGGCAGCAGGACTAGCACCAGTGGTCACCATCGCCTGGGAAGTGCTGCAGGACTCCTGGGTCCTGGCAGTCAGGACTGAGGGGTACGTGAGCCCATAGCCCCTGCACTGTGCTGACTTAGCCCCTGAGGAGGAGGGTGGTGGTGTGGAGCTTTGTCCCTGAGGAGATGGGACAGTCCCCTCTTCCGCGAGGGAAAGGGAGCAGAGATGGGGTCTTGCCTCCCTGACCCCATGGTGGGCTCTTTGGGGCTCATTGTTCTGGGGGGTGTGGGTGCTGTGTGGGTCTGTGGGCACTAACCAGGTTCTGTTCCCACAGCCAGACCTGATCTCCACCATCGGAGAGAGCGCGGCCCTGGGTGCAGCTGGGGCCATTTTCTGGGGTGATGCAGACTACACCAAAAACCGGGTATGTTTGGGGTCAGCATGCTTTCAGATGGGTGGGGGGTCACCTGCTCCCAGAGAGGGACTGGTGGCTTTGAGATTGGGGTGTCCTCTCCATCTGGGGTACTTTTCTCCCTGGTGTACCTCAACATGCCTCCTCTCCCGTAGAACTCATGCCAGATCCTCAAGGACTACCTGGAGGGGGACCTGGGCCGCTACATCGTGAATGTCACGACGGCAGCGCAGCGCTGCAGCACAGTATTGTGCCAGGGCCGCGGCCGCTGCCTGCGCCAGGACAGCACTGCTGATGTCTTCCTCCACCTCAACTCCACCAGCTTCCAGCTGCGGCGCCGGGATGGGGATGACCCCCAGCGCCCCCTCTTCTGGGCTGAGGGCCAGGTGTCCCCTGCTGACACCCTCTTCCTACGGACCCACTTCCGCTGCCAAAAAAACCTACCAGGGCTGGCAGGGCAGCAGCTGCCAGGTGCCTGCTGACCCCCGCAGTGATGCCCCTGACCCGCTGTCACCACTGGGACTTGGGGTGCTGTTGCTGCTTGCAAGCTGGTGCTAACCCCTCTGGACTGAACTGGCCCTCCTGGCATCCCATTTCTGTGACAGTGTAGGGGACCTATTTAAGATATCCCTACCCTGCCTGAGAGGCAGCTCGTTGCGGGGGGCTGCCCCTCACTGGGGGGAGAGCTGTGTGGTTGTCTCACCTCTGCCCTCCCTGCTGTGGTGCAGGTGCCCCCCCATAGGGATGGATGGGGG